TGTCGTGGCGGAATATGAGCAGGAGGGGAACATTTTCACGTGAGATGAGATGATGAGAAAGCCTTGTTAGGGCTCGCTTGTAGCAGCAAGAGGGCGTATAATCACGCGCGTCAGATTATTCTATAATATTAAGCTTGGTTTGGGCTCCGCTTCTAGGAGCAGGGGAACATTGTCACATGGGTGACACGATAAACTTAGTTTGGGCTCGCTTCGAGCAGGAGGAGGACATTTTCAAGTTAGTTTAGATGATGAAAGACTTGGTAGAGCCTTCTCCCGGCCGTGAGGGTCACATCCAGGTCCAGGCAGGTCTGGGGCGGGGGGGGTTTGGGGTATGTGTGTGGTGGTTGTGGCCATGATTTGTGCTAATTGTCGTTGATGTTGTAGGTGGTTTTTTGGTTTGTTGACTTTCCTCGTTGCAGCAGCATCCAACCAGTGACTCCTACAAGACGTCTCATTCACGCGCCAATCAAGTCAATCCCACGACAACCATGCCACATCCACGGGCCAATCAAATCAATCCAACGACCAGGGTCGATGCCGAGTTCCAAGCCGACGGCACAGAGGATGAGAACTTCTGCGCCGGTGACGACGGGTGCTCCCTGGCCGCTTACTACATCGAGATCGACACCGAAAGCGGCGACGCTGACCGCATCTTCGGGACCACCTGCCAGGCATCAAACGGGGTGCTGCTGTACGAGGGCTTCACGGGGGTTGGCGACTCCACTTTTTCGGACACGGAGGTGGGTGGGTGTTATCTCGGTGGGCGGTGTTGGTGGGGTTGGTGTCTTGCTATTCGTGGGATTGTGATGGGTACATATACTACTAGGTGGTGGTGTCGTCTTTGTTGTTGGTAGGATTGTGATGGGTACATATACTACTAGGTGGTGGTGTCGTCTTTGTTGTTGGTAGGATTGTGATGGGTACATATACTACTAGGTGGTGGTGATTGTTTTGGTGGCGGTGACGGTGTTGGTTATGGTGGTAGTGTTCGTTTTCGTTTAGCATCCTCCTGTTGGTAGAAGGAAGTGTTTGGTGCTGGTGTTGTTGCCGGTGGTTGCAGAAGAGAATAGCCTCGACGTTGACTTGGCACACGCTGCTGTTTTTTTTTCCCTTGATTTTCTTGAGAGACTAGTAGTAAACAGACGAGTTGTGGCTGACGGAATACATATATGAGCATCAAAAGTACATGTTTTCTTTTGCCGCCGTGTTCCTCGGAAGTGAAAGTGTTATTTCGCTTCTCTTTCATCACCTACCCACACCCTGCAGAATGTTTTGCAGACCGTTCCAGGGTATCACAACGAAGCCTATATTTGTAAACTGTTGCCGGTTCTTGCACCACCAATTAACAGGTGATCGACGATGACGAGGAGACGACGGCGACGGATGAAGTGGGGGTAACGGACGACGAGATCGCGGAGACAACGACGGATGACGCGGAAGCGGTGCTGAATGGGACGGGGGGCGCGAGAACGAGGTCGAGGGCCCTGTCGACCACCTCGTTTGACGTGACGGCGTGCGTGGAGTTCCCCAAGAACGTGAGTGTGAGAAAGAGGCCACGTGGCCTTACGTACTGCTGCTGCTGCCGCTGCCGCTGCCGCTGCTGCTGTGGTTGTACCGTAGCAGAGATAGGTGTGGGTCGCCATGAGCAAGCAGCCCAAAAGCAACGAAGTAATCTGCTCCTAGATCAAAGAAAAGCGACATGATTTGTGTATTGTGTACGCCACGGAACTTGGGTGGGGTGGGGGGAGGGGGTTGCGCACACAATAGCTGGCGCACGCAGGTGGACTATCTTTTTGTTCTTCGACGATGCTCCCTTGCTCTCGCTAACCCTTTCCCCCTCGTCGTTCCAGCTCTGCCGACATCAGCGTACCCCCAACGATGACGTCAGCATTTCGCTTTTAACGCATACCGTACACACAGTTTTGAACGATCTCCCCCTTCCCCCCACCAACGTGTGACGTGCGTACTTCGCTCACACGCCCAGACCGGGGGCACTTAACTTACCGCATGCACGTCGTGAGCGCCCCGCCCCCACCCCTACCCCCACCCCCACCCCTCGCGCGTGTCCTACCCTCAACAGACCGGGGCGGTTTACCGCATGTACATCGTGGTCTCTCCCGACACCGACAGCTACACCCGCACCGGCTTTGGCGTGCAGGACCAGCTCATGTACGCCAGCGACCAGATCACGGTGGAAGAGGACGACTCGGACTACGAATGCCCGGAGGTCGTCGACGAGGAGGCAGGTTCGGGCGCGAGGCCCAGGGTTGTCCTGACCGCCTCGCGCGCGTCGACGGCTGTGGCCGCGGGGCTCGCGGTGGCGACGGCAGCGGCGAGAGCATGACATGGTGTTGGTTGTTGAATGACGTTGTTTTGTGTTTTCCCTTCCCACCACCACCCTGTTTTTCCTTCCCACCCACCCGGTTAGTTTTTTGCGCGTGTCGGGAGTTTTTTTTTGTCTTTTTTGGGCTTAGGGGAAGGAACGAACAACGGCTTCGGCGGGGAGGAACACCCGACAGCATAGATGATACGCCGAGAAGGTTCGTACGCGAAGCTTCTGCTTCTTCTTCCGTTCGCTTTGGTGTGACGAGGAACGAACGAGCTCTATTTTTTTGTTTTTCTGTACAGAATCGGGAAAAGCCGAACGTGGAGAGTCGTTTTTCGTTGTGGTCGCGGACGGATTACCGTAGCACGTCCACAGTCTAAGGAAATTTAAGATTGTGTCGCCCCAAGGAGGTTCAGGGTACATGAGGCGGCGGTTTGACTCTAGTCCCTTGTGGAGGCAGCAGCAAGCATGGTAAACTTGTTTCTCCAGGAC